AAAAAAAAAAAAAAAAAAAAGTAGTTATAAGCTTTACCAACAGCATCCATCCCGACTAACTTAGGCATGAACTTCTGTAGATGGTCATCAGCTGCTTTCTCGGATTTCAACGTTTCACATTCAAAGAAAACCGTAACCTTATTTTTCCCGTGCTTCTCCTCGACCATTCCCACCACGTCTTTCTGCCACCTGTCTCCCATAAAGGATCGCCTTAGAAACTTTGTCGATATGAAAACTCAAGCACAAAAATGTGCCTCCAACTTTGAATCCAAAAATTACAACCACTGGCTATTGTCATTCACTTCCAATAACAATTTCTATGTAAACTCCTTTGCAGCTAATACAATTCATTTGTAACGGTTTCAAAAGGCATAAACTCACAAAAAGTTGGTTACCAAGGCTGTGTTTGGTAAGCATAAAAGATATTTATAGTTTACTTGATTAGCTTATAAGCTTCCTGTATTCAAATAAGTCTAATTTGGTAGGACGAGCTTTTTTAAAAAACTCAAGCTTATCACATAAGCTTACTTGGGTAACTTTTCAAATAAGCCAATTGAAACTATTATTTCAGCTAATTTTACCAAACACTTTTATCATATAAGCTAATTTTTCAGCCATAAATCATAAGCTATCAACTATAAACTCGAACTTCACTTAAAATCTAATAAGCTAACTAATCAGCTAAGTTCACCAAACATAGCCCAAATCTTGTAGGACTTCAGGGATAAAAATCCCATCTTGGAATTAAATGAACTTTCAAATGCAATGAAAATAAGCGCCCAATTTCCTTGGCACTACTCGGCACATACATCTTTTCTACCAAAAAAAAAAAAAAAATCAAATTAATTAATAGCTTACCCGTGAGCATGATCAGTGCTGCATATCTTAGCCGCATCATGTCCTCTACACTCCACCACAATATCTCTTTCCTTCTTGCTCTGGTTAAGAAGTTCAAATCGACTGTGTCACTATTATGTTAACTGAAATTTACTTGCCTCAACAAGAAAATGAGACGATTATGAGTTCTAAAAGGCGTATCAGAAAATAGATAAGAAAACGGAACCGACACTAAAGTCTGTCACGGTGAGTTTGATCAAGCGGTAATCCTCACCTCGGCTGCACTCCCTTTCACATTCCAGCTCTTCCAATTTTTACCAAGAGAATAGGAAAAAAATTAATAATTCAAACGCACAAGAAAATCATAATGATGCAACTAACAAATGAAATTGTTCATACCACAAGCAAGCAAGCAAGCAAACACAACAACGCTTTAATACACTATTCATCACAACGCATTACACAAAGAAAGTCAATAAATCAATAAGCAAAAATACACAACAAAATCTACAAGCTACGTAAATACAACAAACGCTTCACACACGAACACGATTTATCACGACGCATTACTGCAAGAAAGTCGATAGATCAGTATGCAAAGGTAAACCCATAAAATTGAATCTCAGGAGACAATACAAAACACCAGCAAACGAAGATGAATTCACAATAAACCCCAAAAAAATGAATCACAAGAGACCATACAAGACGAAATATGAGAGAAAATACTACAGAAACAACCCAACAGATAAAGCAAACGCTAATTAGTTTATAAATGCGATGCCAGCAAGAAAACATTGAACCTAAAAAACATTTCAATAAGCAAAATTACACAATAAAATCAACAAGCTATGTAAATATTGTCCACTACTGCAAGCAAGCAAGCAAATACAACAAACGCTTCACACACGAACACGATTTATCACAACGCATTACCGCAAGAAAGTCAATACATCACTATGCTAAGGTAAAATCCAGAAAAGTTCAAAATGCTTGAATAAAAATTACACAAAGGAGACAATACAAAATAAAATATGAGAGAAAACACTATAGAACAGATAAAGCAAACGCTAGTTAGTTGATAAATGCGATGCCAGCAAGAAAAACATCGAACCAAACAAACACCAATTTTCATGATACTAAGGTTGTAAGGATAAGACAATAATACCGACTCCATGGAGGCCATAGCAGACGGAGTGAGGAAGCTGCACAAAATGGCCTGAAATGGAGCCGCTGGGCAAAAGGGCTAAGGATGCAACACCCTCCATAACCTTTTCCGAGATTCCCCTCATTTTTTCACCGCCTTCTGCAAAAAAAAAAAAACAAATAAAATAAAATAAAGCATCAATTGGTCGCATATTACGCAAGATTTTAGAAAAAAATCATCAAAGATCACATTTTTATCGCTGCAAAAAATCGTATTTTGCAGTGGAATAGGATTTACCCATTTGCGTATGAGAAAGCTTTTTTTGTTTATGCGGGTGCTTTGGAAGATGTGAGCAGCCATTAAACTGTAACAGGGTTTTTTGTTGCCGGATATCTGGAGGTATGTCCGATTAATCTGTTGGTCGACCCAGGTCGCACACCTGGCACTAGTGGGTGAGTTTTCCAATAAAGATTTTCTGCACCCACAAAGTTTTAAATTTGAAACCTTACTTAAGCGACATCAAGTTGCTTACCACTTGAACCAGTTTATCGAGCTTGGAATTTTTTATTTTTTATTTTTTATTTATTTTCTTTTTTCGTTTATATATATCGTAATATTTAGACTTGCAAAACGGTGTTGTTGCCGTATATGTTTTTTTTTTAATTTAATCATTGGTGATTTTTTTTTTTTCCTCTTATCTCTACTAGGTTGCTACCGTGTGATGCAAATGATAAAGTATAAAAATATTTATTTTTAAATATTATTAAATTTTATTTTAGATAATATATAGTCTGCAATAATATAATTTTTATGTAAATATTTTCATATTATTTTTTTAATTTATTTTTTTAGGTGTGAATTTTATAATTTTATTAGTTATTAGTTTATAAAATATTATAAAAGTGTAACATTTTAAATATAATGATTTTATACAAACTACTTGTATGTACTTATAAAATTATTAATTACAATAATCTCATAACATTTTTAGCAATTCATATTTTGTGTATTGCTCTTTACCTGACCAATAATGAATCCATAAAATTAAATTTCTTCATAATAACTCTAATTGCATGAGATACTTACTTATGATAATTATATCTTTAAATTTTTTGGTAAATTTTTTAGTAAAATTTGTCTATATTTATTTATTTAATTATTTTTTTTCAACATACATAATTATTTAATAAATACAAAATTGAAGCAATTTGATATTTGATATATGATATATTTCAATGACCACACCAAATGCTATAATTTTAATTATTACTTGACAATGTAATTTTATTTACTCATTTTCTTTATAAACTAGTAAATAATAAAAATTGTAGTTTTTAACACCTGAGTAGTGTTTTGGAGTGTATAGATATTTGAATATGAAATTTATGATTTTTAATTTTACCCGTCCATCAAAAGATAATTTATTAATGCAAAATTTAATTTTTAAGTACTACTATCAATATAAATAAGATAATTTATAATTTTAATTTATTCATGGTCAAGTTGAAAACATTTTATAAAACTGTAATAATATTTTAAATTATTTATTAAGCTAATATAATTTAGACATAATTATGTTATTATATATTTAAGTGCTTTTCATTGATGAACACCATTCATATCTACAATCATGAGATGATAATAAAATTTATCAAAATAATTTTTATAATCATAATCGAATATTATTTTTTTAAAAAAAATTATGTCAGCAAAATTATTATAAAAATGGTGTTATAGTCTTACCAAAATATTTTGTAATTAATTGATCATTTTACTTAGATCAATATTGCTTTTTTAAGAACCATAGAGATACTTTTATTTTTCAAGAGCATTATCCCCTCCGCCTATATATTAATCCAGAACGCGTTGAATCTATGTGGCTGCTTTTGGTGTTTCGGAATTTTATGTGGCAAAATTACATGCTTCGTTATTAGACTTGGGTAAATTTTAATTAATTTCCAAACCGAAAATAATTAGGTTCGGATTACCATAAATATGTTGATTATTTATGGTCATGTTACATGTATTAATTACATTTTTAATATCATTCCTTATTATAACTATTGAATTGAACATATATTTTAAAAGATAATAACTTTTTTATTTTTTATTAGTTTATATCAAATTAATCTTCTTTTGATGAGCTTCGATTTAACATCCATATTGTATGTATAAAGAAAATAATTTATATTTATCTTTATAACAATAATAAAATTATTTTTAATATTAATTAGAAAAATAAAATTATTATCAACTAATATATTTATATTTCAAGTAGTTATATGATATAAGTTATAAAAACTAATATAATATAACACATGTAAGTCATAAGTAACACATATCATTCTAAAATATATAGTAATATATTTTTTTGTAAAAAAGTAAACTATATTTAATATAGTTTTCTCATTAATTTTAAATTTTATAAATAATTTCTTTAACAAGCAACCGTGTAATATACGGGTGTTGTACTAGTAACTCAATATCACCAAAAAAAAAAAAAAAATGGAATGCATATGGGGAAACCCCAAATCCTAGAAACCCCAAATCCTAAAAGCATGATTGGATACAAAAATTTTTCAAAAAAATCTAAACATTTTTAACTCAATCACTTTTTTAACTCAACTTTCACTCAACCCATTATCATCAATATTATCAATATAATTAAATAATATCAATCAATCATTCTTACACACAACATCAACCTTAATTTACTATTCATCTACTCACATAAATTTAACTAACTATCACATCACATTTTCTCTCTCTTAGTTTTACATCAATTTAATTTTAATTATTTTATTTTAAATATTATTTTATTCTATCCACTAAGAACTAACCATACCTACTTTTTCAAATTTAACCAACCCAAATCAAAACAAAAACAAATTTATATCCAAGATGCTCTAAGTACCTCACTACTGCCTCGTCGAAACACAAATCAAACCTAATAACCTTACCAACAATAACTAGCTAGCAAATACATAATAAACCAAATCGAACCAATCATAAAAAAATTGAATTGAAGATAGGAAGAAAATACACCACTGAGACTTACTCTATAGCTCGAAATTTGAATCAAGATATACTACTTTCTAAATTACTAAGAATAATTAATTAATTATTATGTTATATACTACTTTTCACATTGCTATTTGAATAATTAATTAATTATCATGTATCTGATAATCATATATGAATGGAATGAAATCCAATTATTATACGTTAGTCTAATTATATAGTGCCATATGTTGTAGGTAGAATGTTTCATTTAATAAACCATATGTTGTATATAGAATGTTTCATTTAATAAATGCAATCCACCAGATGAAAAATAAATGTAGAATGTTTCTTGAATATTCATACAAACTAGTACAACGTCCGTGTATTACACGGGTGTTTGCTAATTTTTTCTTAAAATATAAAATTAATGAGAAAAATTAATTGAAAATTTCAATACCTTTTATAAAAATATATATATTATTATATATTTAGTGTGACACTTTTTTATTTGTACGACTTACATGTATTATATTATAATAATTATTTTAACTTACACCATATAATTACTTAAACATAAATATATCAATTGATAAATAATTTTATTTTTCTAATGATTTTTAATAAATATTATTATTTTTTATTAGTATAAAGATAAATAAAATTATTTATTTCATATATACAATATAGATGTCAAATCGAAGATCATCAAAAGAAGATTAATTTGATATATCATATATGAGGTAAATTGCGCCAAACCCCCCCTGTATTATACAAAATCTGTGTCTTATCCCCCTATATGTTAAAAAATGCGTCATACCCCCTTGTATTATACTTTTGATTGCGCGTTATCCCCTAAAAATGCGTCATACCCCCTTGTATTATACGAGGAGAGGGGAGCGTGCGCAATCAAAAGTATAATACAAGGGGGTATGACGCATTTTTTAAAATACAGGGGGATAAGGCGCAGATTTCGTATAATACAGGGGGGTTTGGCGCAATTTACCCATCATATATGTAAAAGCGATATGAAATACAAAAGTTATCAACTTTTAAAATAAATTTACAATTCAATAGCTAATTGAAGGAAACAAATCAAAAGTCAGTAATATATATGTCATTTAGTGTCTCACTATATAAAATTACAAAGAATTAAAAGGTTATATTAGTAAAAGTGATATTAAAATACCTAAGTTAACTAAATAATATTTATGGAATGTCCGAACCTAAATTATTAATTATTAATATATCAATATTATTTGTCCAAACCTAATTACGAAGCATGATTATTCGCCAAGTAGGATTTCAAAGCACCAGAAATAGCCATGTAGGCTCAGCGCATTCGGGAATTATATATAGGGCGAATTTTTTGAAGTAACTTAGATTTGGAAAGAGCATGATGATCTTTCTAAGACATATTACAAAGTTGCAAGAAAATCAAATTGGGTGACATTGTCACCAAATTGATAAAATAATTAATAAAATATTTATTTTTATAATTTTTATCTGCATAAATTATTAATATGTAATTAATTTTATTATAACTTTAAAATGCAATACAACAACAACAACAACAACAACAACAACAACAACAACAACAACAACAACAACAACAACAACAACAACAACAACAACAACAACAACAACAACAACAACAACAACAACAACGTGCTGAATATTTTGAGAAAGTGAATATTTTGAGATATTTTTTTGAATTAAAAAAATGACTTCAGTAATCCCCTTATATATTAATGCAGAACGTGCTGAACCTAAGTGGCATGCTCGCATGCTTCCGGATCTTATGTGTAAATATTACATGTTTAGTTATTAGGCTTGGGTAAATTTTAATTTATTTTCAATTCAAAAACAATTAGGTCCGAATTATCCATAAATATGTTGATTATTTATGGTCATGTTACATGTATTAATTGAATTATTCATAAACATGTTGATTATTTATGGTCATGTTACATGTATTAATTGCATTATAATATTTCTTATTATACCATTGAATTGTAAACGTATTTTAAAAGTTAACAACTTTTGTATTTTTTGTCAGTAAATTAATAATTTTTTGATGAACTTCAATTTAACATCCGTATTATATGTATAAAAAAATTATATTTATATTTATAACAATATTAAAATTATTTTAATATTACTTAGAAAAATATAATTATTTATCAATTATAATATATATACAAATATATATATTTCAAGCAGTTATATGATATAAGTTAGAAAAATGACTATACTATAACACGTGTAAATCGCATAAGTAGCAAGTGTCATTCTAAAATATATAATAATATATATTTCTTGTAAAAAAATAAATTAAATTTAACATAATTTTTCTCATTGATTTTAAAATGTAAGAATATTTTTTTAACAAACACCCGTGTAATACACAGGTGTTGTACTTGTTAAAATAAATACATATAGTTACTCAAGTGAGTTTTAGGGTGTGTTTGACACGTATAATAAGCTAGCTTATAGCTTATTTGGTTAGCTTATAAACTTTCTGTATCAAATAAGCTCTGTTTGGTAGGACGAGCTTATTTAAAAAGCTCGAGCTTATTTGATAAGCTTGTTTAGGTAGCGTTTTAAAATAAGCTAGTTGACTTTTTTATTTCAGCTAGCTTATAAGCTAGTTTTACCAAACACTTTTATCATATAAGCTAGCTTTTCAGCTATAAATCATAAGCTATAAGCTAACTTATAGCTTATCAGCTACCAGCTAGCTTATCAGCTAGGTTTACCAAACACACCCTTAGACTTTATAACGTCAATGTCCACCAACGGTTAAAAATAAAAATTTATTTACAAATATAAAAATGTATTCACATTCAATTTGTATAAAATTTCCACTATATATTATATTACATAAAAAATATTTAATTTTAAGGAGAAACCATTTTTATTAAAAAAAAATAATCCAGAATTTTCTTCTCTTCTCGAATCAAGAATGATGATCTAACAACAATACAACATCTCAAAAAATTAAAAAGTCCATCATCGCTGGGCTAACTTGAGGTTACAAAACAGCAAGCAAAAGAGGAGTCCAAAAGATACCAAACTACATTTATGATGAAAGAATAATAATCTGCACATGAATTTTATGTCCTAAACAATAAGAAATCCCTGACATACGGTTTATGTTGTTCTCTAAACCAGGTCTCCCTGTAATAACCACCAAAAACTACCGGGTCGAATCGCCATAAACACATAAGAATCGGCCAAAACAAGAACCACCGAAAAATCGCAATAAATTTTGATTAAGAAAAAAAAGAGAACGAAAAACAAAAGGGAAAAAGAATTATCTATATGACTAAGAGGCCCCCAGTATGTGAAGCCTTACAGTGGACCTGCACCCTACCTCCATCCTCTCGGGCACCAGATATTCCTTTCCGAACGCTTTATATCATTTATTTCCTTTCTAAGCACTAAGCCATAAAAATGAAGTTCCGAAAAAAAAAAGAAGAGAAAAGAAAAGAAAAGTAAAGAAAAATAATGAAGTCCTTGAATAGATGAACGAATGCTACTTTACATACGAAAAAAGAATGAATCCCATGATATGGCCAACCTAGCCATGTAGCTCCTTCCTTCCAAAACCAAGCCCCACGCATCATATTTTGTATTTTCTGCAAATTTGGAAATTCTCATCTCCTCACTTTTATCATCGAATGTTGATAATATTACCTTCCTCCGAAAAGATAAACTTTGAGCATAACCTGTTATGCTTTTTCCTCCAATATTCATTTAATTGGTTCGAGTGCGTCGGCTAATTGCTACTCCAGGATGTGACAATTCCTTATGAAATCACTCGAGTAATTTACGTACTTGGTCCAGAAAGGCCTCAGATGCTCGAAACCAATCTCCAACCACGGTTTGGATTGACCGTTATAGTGAATCACAGCTGCCTTCTTCACGTTTTCAATGCTGGTTTTATTCTGATAGCCCAACCCAAGCATGTGCCACGAGGGATCTATAGGGTGAACGTGGCCTTTAAATGCTATTAAAGCCGGAGGTAGAGTCCCGAGCTTCCATAATGTGAGGTTTGACTTCAGATTCTGCAATAAATACACACCTCTGAGTAAGATAAGACCTTTATCTTTTTTATCTTCTGTCGGCTAAAAAAAAAAAAATTCCATTTGCGATTGAAAAACTAGGGAAAGCATTCATCAATAGATGACACAAGAAATTGATTTTGGAGGGAAATATTTTATTTACCTCCTTGAGCCATGAGTGATACGTATCTCTAATATTTGTCTTTCGCCATGCCTGCAAGTCGAATATATTCATCCCATATGCCCATGCACATTCATCAGGATTCAAGTTTTTCGATATAAGTGGGTGAGAGAAGTTGAAATAGGTCCTGAATCTCTTGGACATAACCCACTCATCTTCACCTCTGCAAGTCTCGACAGCCCCATTTACTTTTCCGTTAAGGTCAATCTCCCAGAGAGGAGACAAATCTCGTTGGATTACCACATCATCGTCTAGGAAAACCACTTTTTCAAGATTTGGGAATAGCTGCAAAATATAGAAAAATACTATTCTCAGCAAAAAAAAAAATTCCAGATATAAATTTGCATGCACATACCACAAACAAGATTACACTTCAGAGGACAAGTCCTACTCATTCAGGTAATGCTTAACGCATACTCTTAAAATATTCAGGTCATATCCACTAAATCATGGTACAGTCTTACACAATAAAGATTCTCATTCAAGAACCGCAAAGCTAACTGTGGTCCAAGGAGATTTGCATTGAAGATCATTTGCCCAAAAAATTAGATAAAACATAACAAAGAATTTGCAGTGTGTCTAATGGCAAAGTACATGTTAACACTTTATAAGTGCATAATGTGATTTCAAAATTAAAACCAATATGAAGATGTACCTCAGGAAGATATATACGAAGATGGTTGAGCAACGAGATATACTTTGGACTCCTAGCCTGCAACTTAGAGGCAAATGTTCGTGGGGTTGTATCACTTAGATTGGCCCCGGCAATGTGATTCCCATGGTAATAATTCCTAATCCCATAGTGGCTCTCCACGGCTTCAAGGACGGGGACATTCTCTCTTGTTAACCAATCAAATTGATGCACACCTTTCACCTCAACTATAGCAGGAGGCACGGGATGCAGGGCGAACCATGAATGCATGCCTGCATAAGTTTTCTTGTCAGTTATGACATGGAAAACAATCTTTTCAGGGGCGGCGGATGACTGAACAGCCGATGTCACAACAACTGAAGCCGCAAGAATGTTGTCCGTTGACAACACAAAGTGATGGTAGGAGTTATCAGAAAGCAAAGGAAGAAACTCTGGAGAAGGTAGCTGCTTGCGTGCATGGGCATTGGAAGAATATTCATCGGTTAATCTCAATGAGAGACAGTGAATGCCCTTCGGGATCGCACTAGCTGCAAAATGTTTATTCATTAGCTCGGAGAACTTGGACTCCCGGATTTCCCTTTCTGACCTCTCCATCTGTCAGAGAGAATGATGAAATAGAAAAAGAACATTGATTATCCAAAGTGATAAACATGAAGAAGGATATTAACTTTCATACTTAAAAAAAAAAAAAAATTAATAAATAATTGGAAGCCAGAGCTCAATTAGGAAGCTGCAAAAAGATGAGAAAAAAAAAAGTTTAGGCCATATTTAGATTTTAATCGTCCCAGTACGAATACATGTTAATTGTATCAAGTATATCAACCATTCAGGATAACTTAACCGAAACGTGACTGTACATTGGGCTCCAACTAAACATATTGCTGTACACCAAAAAAGGTGTATCGGTAAATAGAAAAATTCAACTGTAAAAGGCAATAATATATATTTGTCAAGCACTCGAGATAACACAACATTCTGGCAAGTTTGTTTTTTGGTTCGCCTTTAAAATATAATTTTGTAACCAAAACCCTTCTTCAAGTCCAGATGGTGCAGCACCCTCATCACCACATGAGAAAACTAAGGTCTATTTTTTTCGACTTCAGCTAACAATTCTTATTATGTACCAAATCTTAAATAAAAACATTAAGTTCTGAGTCATAGAAATCCCTGTTGTCATTGACCCATCGACATGAAACTTGGGTTGATTCAAGAACACAAATCTAAAGGAATCCACCAATTGCATGAAACAAATAACAATAAAATAATTATTGCAAAATAAAACAAAGATCTTCGCAAGAAGATATAACAAGACTTGATATCTGAAATTCTAAGTTACATGGCAAGGGCATATAAGAAAATATTTCTTCCTTATTATAATGTATAGTAAAAATGTAAACACCAAAACATGGACGAATCATAAAAGTACATCCAAACTGTGTGAGAAAAGAAACTACTCCTGTCTCATCTCTTTCACGTTTTTTTTGGCAAAACACATTTGTATGGAAACTGACAATCACAGTTAGTATGCATTTGTGAAAAATAGAAAACAAACATTTCTCACAAAGCACAGACTGAAAAGATCTATGAACAATACTAGATCTATGAACAATACTGTCACGGAAAACCAGTAAAAGAAATATTTCTCAAAATCTACAAGCAAAAAAAAAAAAAAA